GAAGGGACCTCAAAGGAGTCATGTTACTCAGAAGTCCCCAGAGGTCACCCAGAACAGGAGGGGACTCACATCCCCATGTGGCTGGGGCTGGGGCAGGGGGGAGGGGGAGGGCCCTGGGGCATCTGGAGTAGCTTCTGGGAGAAAGGCCCCTGCTTAGACACCGCCTTGTCCAGACCCTCCTCTCCTCCTTCGAGGATATCTCACTTGGGGATGGCATCGGTTCCCTTGGGTTCTCAATCATTGCTGAGCAGATAATTCCAGACCTCTAGATCCAGCCTTGACGTCTCTGCTGACTGCCAGTAGGGCATCCCCCACCGTCTCTGGGCATCTCAAATTGGATGTCCCATAGGCATCTCAAATCCAACACTGCAAAAACCTCATTGTGCTCCCCTCTTCCTGACGTCCCTATTCCCAAAAAGGGTAGACATCAACCTGTGTGTCTGAGGTCTTCTCCTCAATATCTCTCCCCCCTCCCCCCATATCCACGTTTTGTCAAGACCTATCATTTCTGTCTTCACAACATCTCTTCAATGCGCCCCCTCCTCTCCTCTAACCCTGCCCCGACCCTGCTGCAGACTCACCCCACACCGGGGCTGCCTGCCTCAGTCTCTACCCACTCCAGTCCACCTCCATTCAGCCACCACAGGCACTTTCCTAAAGCACAAGCTTTTAGTGTCACCCCCACTCAGCAAACCCCAGTGGCTCCGTGTGGCCTCCATCAACACCCTTCACATCCTGTCCCCTCCCCCTTTCCAGTCTTCTTACCCCTCACTCTCCACCCCCCACCTTCTCTTCCATCCAGGGACACCAGGCTTCTGGAGGTTCCACCACCAAGACTCTCCATCGCCTGGCCCCAGGCATTTCCCTTCCTTTCCCTCCTCACTTCCTTCTCCTGGCTTTCCTGGCTTCCTGCCAGTCTCAGATCAAACCTCTCACTTCTGAAAGAAGTCTTTCTGGATCTTCCTAAACTCTAGTGACGTCCTCCTGAGGTGATTTCTGCTTTATCCTATATGTTGTCGTTTGGTTGTTTCAGTCCCATCCCACTCTCTGTGACCCCATTTGGGGTTTTCTTGGCAGACATACTGGAGCGGTTTGCCATCTCCTTCTCCAGTTCATTTTGTAGATGAGGAAACAGAGGCAGACAGGGTGAAGTGATTTGCCCAGGGTCACACAGCTTGGACGTGTCCGAGGCCAGACTTGAACTCAGGTCTTCCTGACTCCAGGCCTGGCAGCCCACGTGCTCTGGCACCCCAAGCTGCCTGTCCTATATGTTACCATTCTATAAAAGGAGCTAATTTTTGTAAAGCTCTTAACACGGTTTCTGGAACACAGTAAAGACTTAATAAATGTCTCTTCGCTTCCCTGCCCTCCATCTTGCATAATGGGGTTCGCAGATTGGCTCCTCCATTGGGCTGGGGGCTCCTGGAGACCTTTGCCCTTTGAATCCCTTGGTCCTTGCTGCAGAGGAAGTGCTTGCGGGATGGTTGGGGACCATTCTGAGGGTGCTCCTGCCCCAGCCCCTCACCCACCCCCGGCCAAGGCGTGCACATGCTCAGTGTCACCAGGGCATCGATGCTCTGGGCTAGGCTGAAGCCCCCAGTCCTGGGGCCTGTGCGCCATGCTGGTGGCCCGGTGGTGGTGGCTGCGATGGATGGATGGTGACAGCAGCAGCAGCAGCAACACATATATATATATAAATATGGTGCTTTAAGGTAAGTAAGTGTGAGCTTTCCATGTAATATCTTAGAGAAGCCTGTCTGTCTGCCCTCCTTCTTCCTCCCTCCCTCCCTTCCTTCCTTCCTTCCTTCCTTCCTTCCTTCCTTCCTTCCTTCCTTCCTTCCTTCCTTCCTTCCTTCCTTCCTGCCTTCCTCCCATTCTTCCCTCCTTCCCTTCCTCCTTCCTCCCTTCCATAAATTAGCCATGTCCCATGCCAGATGTGACCAGCCCTGACAGATGCTGTCAATAGTATAGACTTTAGGAGCTTAGGATAGGAAGAGTCTTGAGGACCAAAATTCCCCAAGGAAAAGAAGTCATCCCTGCAGGAATGGCGAGCTCTCCATCACTCGACTGAAGAAAGAAGCAAGGCATATCCCATGATAAGGAAGGGGTGGGGGTGCATCTGAGACTGCCCGTGGGCTGCAGCAGCCTTGATTTCAGAGGGGCATATGCAGGACACAGAGCAAGGGCAGCTAAGAAGAGGAAGGACAGATATCCACCATGATCTGGTGTCAGACAGAAAGAGAGAAGGAGACCTGGATCTCAGCAGGAGTGAAACCTGTCCTGGAAAACAGGATTTGGGGCTTGTAACCTTACTCATGTTCCTGAATTCAAATCCAGCCTCAGACACTAGCCGGGCAAGTCACTTTATCCTGCTTGCCTCAGTTTCCTTCTCTGTAAAATGAGAATCCTGGAGAATTCTCCAGTATCTTTGCCAAGAAAACCCCAAATGGGGTCACAGAGAGCCAGAGACAACCAAGCAACCATCACCACCTTACTGGAATAAGGATGAGGCCCAGAGCAGGACTCTGGCACCTGCTTAGGGCAGACTGCTGACTCAAAGACCCTCACCCTGGCTAGAGGGTGCTTGCAGTGGGCAGGGGTCTTCCCTTCCCCACCCAGGCCACTCTCCAGGGCTTTTTGGTCTGCCTGCACCAAGGCCAACGGAAGGTCCACGGTGTCTCAGTCCCCTCCTTCTCTGAAATGCTCATGCCCTCTGACCTACTCCCAGGAGGCCTTGGAAGATCTACCTTCAGGACCCCTTTCATCCTCTCTGACGGCATCTGACAGCCTAGGAGCAGATGCCTTTCGAACCCTGGGATCCCTGGGAATAAACCTAGCTGGCCCAATGGCTGACCGAGGGGCTGGGACTTGGCCAGCTTCATTTTTTCCCAACCCCAAAGTACAGCATGAAAAATGGGATGTAAATTCCTTTTCCAAGAGGCCCCTGCCAAGACAATGCTGCTCTCATGGAGGGCACACAGGAGGGCCATTCCCAGGCTGAGGCCTCCCCTCCTTGACCTACCTTAGTGAGAATAAAGCTCTGGAAAACTACAACAGATGGCCTTGTGGAGGCAGTGGCAGCAGCAGCCAGAGGGTCCCCAAAGGGCTGTCAGCCCAGCCTGAGCAGGCTTAGCTCCCTGCTCTCAGGCCAGGACCAAGACAACAGCCTCCCTCTGTGCTCATCGGGCCCTGCACCCCATACCCAGAGGTCATCAGAATGCAGCTGTCCATTCTGACCAGCAGTCAGAGCAGGGTGAGCTCTGCCCCCTCTGCCAAGGGCCAGGACCCAGGCAGCAGCCTCCCCCTGGCAGGACCAGGCCCTGCACCACATCCCCAGAGGTCTGGGCCCCAGCAAGCCTGTGCAGCCTATCTAGAGTAGGGAGAGCTGCCCCATGCCCTCCAGCCTCATGTCGGGCCCTGGCAGCAGCCACCCCCTCCTCCCTGCCCACCATACTCTACCTGGCCCCTAATCACTGGCCACAAGTCAGAGTGCTGGAGAAGATTCAGATCATGGCAGTGACCCAAAGGCAAACAAGGCCAGACCACAAGGCAGCCAGAGCAGCAGTGTGGCCTCAAGGGGGTCCTGGGCTTGGTCTCTGCTGGCTCCAGGTAGGAGGTGGCCATTTACCCCAGGAGTGCCCCTGTGGCACCCCCAGCCAAGCACTAGGCACCAACTCCTCCTCTTCCAGGCCGACTGCTGGGGAAAGGGCAAGGAGGCCAGGGCCGGGGCCTACGGCCTGGTCTGAAGCCAGCTCAGTCAGCCCCCACCTGCCTTCTCTTCCAGGTTAAGCATCCCCATGCGATCCCAAGATCTGCCCCCCCACCCCCAACCCCAAAATGAACTTGTTATGGAACCCAGCAGGCGCTCACTCTCGCTCTGGGGGCCAGACCTGTCCTATCTACAGAAGCAGCTGGGGTGCCCTACAAGGTGTGAGCTGAGGGGCATGAAAAAGGCCCACCCCACTCTACTCTGACACTGAAAATCTGCCACATTCTCTGCCCCCCCTAAAATCCAGGCTTTTCTGGAGTCTGGCCCAGGCACCTGAATGTGATAGGTCCAAAAACACAAGCTGAGACAAGGTAATTCATAAGCCTTCCACCCACCAGGGCCAGGGTGCTACTAGCCCTTGGCAGCCTAAGAGTTATCTGAGAGTCACAGCCAAGAAGTGGGGCAAGGAGGGAGGGGATGAGCACTTATTAAGCTCCTACTGCATGCCAGGTACTGTGCAATTATTATCTCATTAGATCCTTACAACAACCCTTTGAGAGAGGTGCTGTTATTATCCCCATTTTTACAGATGAGGAAATTGAAGCAAAATGCTAAAGCGACTTGCCCAGGGTCATACAGCTAGTAAGTGTCTGAGGCTAGATTTGAATTCAGGTCTTCCTGACTCCAAGTCCAGTGCTCTATTCTTTGTGCCCCAAGCCAGGTTCACCTTGGACCATAATGACTGCTCCATCTCAGGGACCTGCCCGGGACCCGATGAGGTGAGCCCCGGGGGCTAAGAATGCTATGAGGGAGAGAAGCAAGGGCCCCAGCACAGCTGCTGACACAAGGCACAGCAGAACTGCCCCGTGAGCCACCCTCCCCACTGCGCAGACCCACAAACCTTCTGGTCCTCAACTGTCAAATGAGGGATTTCCACCTACCCATGCCCAAGACCCTTCTGGCCCTTTCAGACCTCAAGAAGAGGCTTAGCCCTCTAGATGCCTAGCCCTGCACTAGAATTGGAGAAACAAGCCTTAGCACACTGCCAGGCACAAGGCAAGGCTTTAGTAAAGCATGTTGGTTGATCCCTGAGATGGGAGGAGGGAAGACGGGAACAGAGGGTGTCAGGTGCCGGGGGCTCCCCCTCCCAGGTCCTCAGAGTCTGCCCACAAACGATGCCCTGTGACCAGAGAGCAGAGGTGAGGGCTCTTGGGTGCAGGTATGAACAGCGCCCCCTCCCTGTGCACACGTGTAAATGTGCCGACAGCCCAGGCAGAACCACCAGGCTTACCTTGGCTCTCAGAGGCCTCTTTCAGGACCTTGGGGTCCCCACCATGGGACCCTGGGCCCAGAGCTCCTTCCTGGTCACTCACAAAGTGACGAAATCTGTGCCTCCTCAGCTGCCGGAGCTCTGAGTTGCGGGCCATGAGCCAGCGGGGCCCAAGCCTTGGCTCGGCCCTGGGTGGCCGCCGAAGCATGTCCATGCCCAGGAGGAGCTTGTGGCCTTCTCGGGGGCTGGAGCTGCTGTCCAGGAGGCCGACACCCAGGGCCACGGCAGCCACGGGCAGGGCCTGTAGTGGGCTGGGTGCTGGCCTTGGCCCCTGGGGCATCATGGCCAGGCGGGACCTCTGGAGAAGCAGGAGGCTTCCAGCCATCAGATAGGCAGCCGTGATCACAAAGAGCAGGAACTGTGTACGCCGAAGAAGCTTCTGGAGTCTGAAGAATGGTTTGGCCATGCCCTTGCTGGGGTGGGGGTGGGGGGGTTTGTGCGGCACTCAGATCCCTGGCTGGCTTGGGGCTGGCTCCATCCACTGGCTCATCCCATCACCGGGGTCCTGCTTCTGTCAGACCTCGGGCCCCATCACAACTCTCCCTGGAGCCTGGTGGCTGCGGACATCTCCTGAGCAGCCTCTGGGACGACTCCATCATCAGACCCTCAAACAAGACAGATCCTGGAAGGGCAAAGACAGATACTCAGAGCCAGCAGGAGGGACCCAGCTTCAGGACTGGGTGAGCACAGCCTCCCCTTGAGGGAGCCTGGGGAGGGCAAGGGGACAGCCCCCAGGGTCCTATGACTTCGGAAGGATCTGTTTCCAAGACACCAAATGCAATCTTTCCTCAGCTTTCCTTTGGACATAACTGGCCACAGGAGAGGAATGAACAGAACAGAGAGGCTTGCTCTGACCCCGCCTCCTTCCTTGGCTGAATGCAGGGGGTGGGGAGCTGACAGGCCAGGCCTGGACGGGGGCAGTGCACCTGTATTCAAATGAGGAGAATGTGTGGGGAGAGGGACAGAGCGCCACCCGCTGGCTGCAGAGGCTGGGCTCTCCAATGGCCAGGCATCTTCGGAGAAGGCTGGCAGATGCCTCTTCAGCTGCCTTCCGTCTTGGCTGAGCAATAAGGAAGGCTGCCCTGCACAGGGGGTGGGGGATTGTCCCAGGAAGAAAAGATCCTGTGAGCTGTGACTAACCCTTCGGCCAGTAACTAATGAGAGCTGGGGCCAGGCCAGAGGCCCCCCAGCCTCCTGGTCAATTGCTTCTCTGTGCCCCTCACATGGGCAGGCCCTTGCCTGCCTGCAAATGTGAGCAGCCAGAGGCAGGTGGGGGAAGCCAAGGCAGGGGGGAGGGGGACACCCCCTCCCTCCCCAGCTCTCCTGGACTTTCCAGTTAAACATTTGGAATCATCATGTGCCTAATGGAGACTCTCACTTACTTAAAGGGGTCTAACTGTCTTGTAACTGCAGAGAGATCCTGTTCTGGGAGGGAGGGAAGCAGGGAGGAAGGAGTGGAGAAAAGAAGGGAAGGGTAGCAAGCCTGCAACTACCTGGGTCATCTCCAGTCAGCATTGGAAATAGAGAGCCAGCCAAGAGCATCATCAGGGCAGCTCCATCTGTCCTTCCTCTCTCTCTCTCTCTCTCTCTCTCTCTCTCTCTCTCTCTCTCTCTCTCTCTCTCTCTCTCTCTTTCTCTCCTCTGTCTCTCTTTCTCACACACACACACACACACACACACACACACACACACGCCCCCAAGCCCCTGCACTCCTGCTATCCAATCCTCTCTTGTGGAGCCCCACCAGCCCAGAGGACATGACCACAGCCCACCACAACTAGTACACCCTGGCCTCCCTGCTGGAAGAAGATAGGATGAATGTGGTTCTCAGAAAACCCTGGGGAAGGAAAACTTCCCTCGGCACATACTTTTCCTGATCCAGGGACTGTCAGTCCATGACACCTCAGGCCTCAGCTCTCCAAATGGGAGAAAAGCATATCAGACCAAGGGGAAAAATGATGGAACAGTTAAAAATAATTTCATACAGTCCTAGAATAATAAAACACTGGGGATGAAAAGGATAGGAAACTGAGTCTCAGAAATGTTGGACAATGAGGTCACAGAATTAGAACCCTAGGTATAGAACACCAACCAGGCCAACCTCCACAGACTCCATTCAGAGTGGGACAGCTGTCTCCCCACCCTCTTGCTCAAGCCTCTCCAGAGACCCCAGGACCACACCAAAGGTAGCCCCAGACCCACTAGAGAGGCCACACCATGGGCCCAACAGGAAACTTGCGGCATAGGTTTCAGGAGGTGGAGATGGTGGCCCCGCCTACCTGCCTGTAGCAGGTGTCCTAGACAAGGCCCGTGTTCATTCTTGGACCAGGCAGGGGCTCCCTCAGAAGCCCCCAGTGTCTGGCCCAAAGCAAAGACTTGTGGAGCTTCACCCCACATAGCATGGGCCCACATGTTGCTGCTACAGGTCACCTGGCTATACAGACTGCCCACAGGGCTGCCCAAAGTCACAGGAGACAGCCCACCGAGAATGGAGAGAGGGAGTTAGCATGAGACAAGACACAGCGACCAAGCAATCAGCTTCTGTTAAGTGCCTGCTGTGTGCCAGACAGCTCATGGGAAAGACACCACAAGAAAGTGGGTGAGGGAAAGGTACCCCACCCCGTCCCTGGGGGCCATGGGGGCCAAGTCCTCAAGGTCACAAGAGGCGCAGTCAGGAAAGGAATGGACATCGGCATTCTAGGTCCCTCCCCAAATTGGAGTCCTTTGGAGAAGTTCACCAATGGGAGAAAGGGACTGTCGTGGCAGAGGGATGGTCCAGGCTAAGAAGGCTACCGGGGCTGATGGATGATCCACGGTGAGAAGGAAGCACCAAGGAGGAGAGTGAAAAGTACCTGAGGAATGGTAGACAGAGGGCTGGACTTAAAGTGAGAAAGATCTGGGTTCAAATCCCATCTCAGATACTGACTAGCTGAGGGACTCTGGGCAGGTTACTTGATCTCTCTGTGCTTCCATTTCCCCGTCTGCAAAATAAGGGAGGTGGAGTCCATGGCCAGCTCTAGGAGCAGGTTGCCCAGCACCTTCAGGAGGCTTCCTGTATTGTCTTGGTTCTATAACGGACAGCTACCAGCTAGGCAGCTCAGGGAGGGGACGGTGATTGAATATCCTATTTCCTTCTGGACCCTCAGGAAGGACTCCTCATGGGAGAGTGCCCTGGCAAGTCTGTTTTCTTGACTGGACCTACCCATGAAGAGCTAGCTTACAGACCTGTGTTTTGCTAACGGGCCCAGGGGCAACCTGCCAATCATGCTACGATACTCTCTACAAGGGTTGCTACTGGATAGTGATGCCAGGGTCCACCAGCTGGTGATACGTTCTGAAGCTGGACTTCTGGGACGGCTTTGTGGAGATTTGGGGAGATGGGAATCGAAAGGCATTGGTTTGAGGTTCCTTCTTCACTTTGGCATGGCCAGGGCTGAGCATCACGCTGGGTTTCCAGATATGCACTGCCCGCTCCATCCTCCTGAGACTTTGATGGGCAGCGGCCACTGTTGCTGCTGCTGGGTCACTGCTGTATGGGACAGAGGGAAGACTGACCAAGATCTGAGTGATGCCTGGGGAGACCCTCCATCCTCATCTTCCTCCTCTGCTGCTGGTCCCCTTCTCCAGCTCCGCCTCTCTCTCTTTCCCACAGGGGGAAGAGGCCGGCTTCAGCTCTCATCTCCCCCTCCCTCCCCTTTGCTGACACTCCCCTTCATACTGTTTGTTCCCCTTTAAATAAAAGAAAACCTGGCTGGTAGCCAGGAATCCTTGTTGTGTGATGAATGCGGCTAGCTCAGGTGCAGATTTGGGGGAAAGGCAGAGATGAAGGAGAAACATCCCGGCTTCAGCCTGAGGCACAGAGGGGGTAGGCAGGCAAGCAGACAGTGATTCCAAGCAGGAGTGCAGACACAATGGAGATGCACCAATAGAATATTCCAAAGCCAGCACAAATGCTTACCAGCAGGAGACTTTATATAAAGGGAAAAGGAGGAACAAGACTGAATTGACCCATAGACCAGCAGAGTTAAGCCCTTGAGGTAAAAGTGCCCTGAGGGGCAGCTGGGTGGTGCAGTGGATAGAGCACCAGCCCTGGAGTCAGGAGGACCTGAGTTCAAATCCAGCCTCAGACACTTGACACTAGCTATGTAACCCTAGGCAAGTCACTTAACCCCAATTGCCTCACCAAAAAAAAAAAAAAGTGACCTCAGCTCCAGGAGGTGGGGGTGAGGTCCGTTCACCAAGCATGCCTTACACCAGCTCCACTTTGGATTCTTGACCGTGAGAACCTTCCTGCTACCTCTGGCTGAGTCAAGCACTACAGCAAGGCTTACTTCCCTCACTTCCCCTTGTCCTTACCAGAGGCACAGTCCATGCAAACCCAGTGCCCCATGCCCAAATAGATGCAAGTGGTGAGCAACCCCTTATATTACATTCATGCTATTACCTCGTGTCATACTTTTGTATTAATCCTTTCTTTTGTATTTTATATTAATTAATTAAACCTAACCTTGCTTCCATTACTGTTCCTGTCTTTGTGTGTGTTTGTGGCCATTGAACATAAATTAGAGAGCTCTCTGTGCATCCACATCAGTTTCTTTGGAGAGACCCATTTTTCCTCAACATTAGACAATTACCTCCTTGGCTTCAGAATTTCATTTGTGAGAGCTTCCCATCCCATCCCAGGTGACTTCTGTAGACTTTTAGTTCATGGGATCCTGCCTATTCTTCCTTGTAACCCTGTGGAATTTGATCTTCCCCAATCTAGGGCACATCAAAAACCCTACATGACAGATTTAGGAAGGAGTCACCCCCCCACACAGCAGGGTTGCCATCATTTCTAGCCCCACCAACCAATTATCTCCCACTTCCACCAGTGAGAATCAGATTCAGAATAGAATTTCTCCTGATTGGTTGCTCTGTCTTTTGAAGGATGTGGTTATCAATGAAGGAAGTCAAGGAATTATGGGGTGTTCTAGGTTTCGGCAGAAAAAGAGAGGCCTCCAGTAGATGCCTCATGACTGGAGTCTCTCTACTACTTTGTAATGCCTCTATGCTAGGCTGGTGCTAAGGCTCCCAAATGCTTCCTCGATTTCCTCATGCTGTCCAGGTCATCTATATTACACTCTGGTGGCAAAAGTTACTTCTGTTTCTTCCTTCACTGACCTTCACCCAAATTCTCCCTGCCTCACTTTCCCTCTCTAGTTAATTGTTTTCCTTGTATAAATACATCTCCATGATATAATAGATGCTTGAGGGCTGACTGGCATTCTGGGAAGTTCAGTTCAGAGGGACAAATACCATCTCAGCTCTGAAAGCGCTTTGGGGCAATGGAGATCTTTGAGCAAGAAGATGATCATCAGTCTGCCCCAGGAGTTCGTAAGAGAGCTGGGCCTGGAGTCAAATCTGAGCTAGGACTTTTCTAGCTGTGTGACCTTGGGCAGGTCCCCTAATTGAATGCTTGCCTACATTTCCTCAACTGTAAAAAGAGGGCTAATAATAATAACCCTCCCGATAATTATAAGCCTTACCAGGACTATTGTGAGGATCACAAAAGATGAGATTTGTAAAGCACTTAGCACAATGCTTGGTATACAATAGGTGCTTAATAAATGCTTATTCCTT